TATATATATATATATATATATATATATATATATACTTTATTTATATTTTTTTATATTAAATATCTTTTTATTTGTATTTTTTAATATTTTTTAATCTAAAATTTGATAAATTATATTCATTTTTAATATATATGTACTTTTAATTATATATAAAATAAATCAATACATAATTTATTTATTTTATTTAAGATTTATTACATATTTTTAAATAATAAGTAATATTTTTTAAATTAAAATATATATATAAAAATAGTTTTAATTTTTTAAAAAAATATCTTTTTATTAATTAATTTTTGTATTTATAAATATTAAATTAATTATTAATTTTATAAAAAAGATTTTTTAATATTTTTTTTATATAGTATAAATAAAAAAATATTAAAAATTATTAATTAAATAAAAAAAAATATATTAATTATATATTAATAATAATATTATATTTAATAATAATATATATTTTATATTTATAAATATAATAATAATAATTATTTTATTGAAAATAATAAATAACAATAAAAAAAAAATATATAAAATAAAAATATTAATTTTATTAATAATAATAATTATAATAATAATAATAATTAATAATAATAATAATAATGATAATAATAATAAAATTATTAATTATAAAAATAATATAATAATAATATTAAAATAATTTTAATATTTTTATTTCAATTAATATTTTTATTTTTTAAAATTTTTATATATATAGTTATAATTTTTTTTTTTTATTATATTCATATTAATAAAATTTTTAATTAATTTTTTTTCTTATTATTAATTTAAAATTAATCTTTAAATAATATAATTGATTTTAAAAATTTTATTTATTTATTAAAACATTATACAAAATATATTTATATATATTATTATTATCCCATAATATTTCTATTATTTATTTATTTACTATTTTATTATACAAATTTTAATAAATATATTTTACTTTTTTTTTATTTATAATTTTTTTATTTTTTTAAAAAATTTTTATAAATAATTTTTTTTAATTTTTTTTTAAAACTTTTATTATAAATTTTTACTTTTTTTTCTAAATTTTATATTTTGTTATAATCTTTTTTTTTGTATTTTTTTATATTGACTCTTTTTTAAAGATATAATATCAGTTCTATTTCTGTCTTCTATATATATTTTAATTTAAAATTAATAAAATAGTTTTTATTTTTTATGTTTTATATATATATTAGATATTTTATTAATAAATGCTTAAAAGCTCTTTTTGAATAAATATTTTTTATTATATTTTTGTTTTTATATATTATATTTTAGTTTTATAATTTGATTTATTAAAAATCACACATTATTTTATTTTATTATACGTTTTTTTTTATTTTTATTATTTAAAAAAAAAAAACTTGAATTATATTGTTTTATCTTATAAAATATTTTTATATATAAATATTTTGTTTTGCTAATTTTTTTAAATAACTTATTTTTCATTAATTTAAGTAACTTAACTTTTTTTTTTAAATCAATTTAAAAAAAAAAAAAATTATTAAGTTATAAAAATAATTTAAACTATTTAATATTTTGTTTGTTTGTTTGAAAAAAAAAAACAAAACAAAAAAAAAACTAAAAATCAAAAAAAAAAAAAAAAATGGAAAAAATAGAAACATTTCCAACAATATCATAATTTGTATGGAAAGGTGTAAATTCAAGTAAATTTAGTTTAGGAAATCGCAAGCATATACATCCATCAGATTCATTTAATAATTTTTAATAATTTTAATCATAAGTTGAGCCTTAAATAGGTAAAAAACATTATGAGCTACGTCCTTCAGATTATATGGAATATAGACCTTAATGTAAAGTATTCCCTAATATAAGCAATAAAGAATCAAAAATAAGTGAATAACCTCTATAATTAAAATAAATGTGTTTTATTCCACATAAAAGAAGTAAATAATTGGAATTTGGATTGAAAATGACTGCTAAGAAATTATTTGAATAGGTAAGTATTAAAAATAGATTAAAAACAGAAGAATTAAATAATAAAAAAAAAAGTGAAAGTATATAAAAACATCAAAGTGGATAAAAATTAACTTGTAAATAAAGAGAATTTTTGGAAGAATTTAAAGAATATAAAAGGCAATTTGAAGAACTTGAAAATTGGGAATATAATACTTTAAAAATGTATAGTAAAGTCGATAAAAAATAAGATTAGAATGAATTTATTTGATAAATATAAATAAAAATATAGGAGAGGGGAATATTATTTATTTTAATTATTTTTTTTATTTTTTTTAATAATATATATATTAATATATTTTTTTTTTTTAATTATAAAAAATTAAAACAAATTTTTAAAAATATGAAAACAAAAAATCTTAAATAAAATAATAAAAATATATATATATTTATTTTTTTTATAAAAAACAAAAAAAAACAAAGAAAAAAATAGATATATAAAAAAAATGAATAAATACATCCGAAAAAAAAACTAAGAATTCGACTCTGGTTTTTTAAATGATAACCTATTTGAAATAAATATAAATAATATTCGATAATCTCCATTTAAATTATCATTAAATATATCACATTAAAATCCCGAAACACCTAATGAAGATGAATTCATAGTATATGAAGAATAAAAACAAAAGAAATAAATAGAAGCGATACTAAGTTATAGATTTTAGAAAAATATTAGGCAAAAATTATATATTAATCCTCATTAAATTAGTAAATAATTGAAAATTTATAATAATAATAATGTTTTTTAGTTTCGGTTTTAACATTAGAATTATAAAATATAGAAAAAAGAAGAAAATAACAATAATTAATTTTTATTTTCTTTTTGGAAAAAAAGCCCTTTTTTTTTGTAAAAATATTCACTTTTTTTTAATAAAAATATGCCTTATTTAGACCTTTATTTTGAATTTTAAAATACTGCCAAAAATTAGGAAATTAAATATATGACTTCTTTTAGAATTAAAACATCTGTTTTTGCCAAAAAATTCATTTTGGAAGAAAATAGTTAGAAAAAGATAGGACTTTTAGAAAATATTTAAACTTATTATTTCATGAAAATCAACTATAGAGAATAATTAGAAGCTCTTTTAGCTATAAAAATGATCTAATAAAATATAAAAAATAAGCTTTTTATTATAAAAAATGGTAATATGTAACTCCGATATACACATTTTGTGAATAATAAGGGGGAGGAGAATCTTGAAGAGACTAATTTGGATATAAAAATTAAGGAAAAATCAAGAAATAGAATAGAGATGACTTATTTATATTAGATTAATGAATTTATTAATTTAAAAAATTATATTAATTCCAATTATACGGTCGCTACTTAACTTTCTTATAAATTAAAGGAAAATTTTATGTTAACTTATTCTGCTTAAATTAATATTAATAATCTTAAATAAGGATAAAATTATAAAGTTGGTTATGGTTTTTATATTAATTGAAATTTTTTTTTTTTATATGCATTTTTTTTTTTTCTAATTTCATTAATTATTTTTTATTTTTTTAAGGTTTTTTTTATCAAAATAATATTTACGGAAGTCATTTTATTTTTTCCATATATATTTCCAATATTTTTCTTATTGATTTTCGTCTATTATCTTTTCTAATAAGTACTTTTAACCTTTTATTTCTAAAAAATTTATATCTAATTCTTTTTTTTATGTATTTTTTAACCTCAATAAGCATTCATTATTACTTAAAATACTCTCTTGATCCCCAAAATCACAAAAAGCATCAATTTTAGCTTATCTTAAAGCCAATAGAATATCTTTTTTGTTATTTTTTTATCTAAATTTTAAATTAAAAACAAAGTATTTTCTTCTTTGATTTCTGGGACATTTTCGAAATTTTCATTTTGTTTCATTTTTTATTTTTGTTTTGAAATTTATTCTATATCCTTTTTTTTAGTTAATTATTTATGTATTTACTTAAATTCTTCCCATTCTTTTTTAGTTAAAATATTCAGTTATTATTAACCTTCATTTTGTTTTTTACATAAGGCCAAAAGTTAACAAGGAATGCTATTTTAGAGGGCTTTTTATGCCAATAAAGCCTCATTTTTATCCTAAAAATGTACAAAGCAATATCCTTTGGAAATATATGAAGATTTTTTTTAAGGTAAGTCGATTTTTAAGACTTTAAATTTGTTAAATATTTAAAAAATAACCTGTTTAGTGGCTTATTTAGGAATAGGTTCTATATATAAGATTTCTTCGTCTATTTCGGAAATACTTATAGGGTTTTTGGGGTATATTAGGTTTGTGTTTTACTCTAAAATTAAGTCTGAGGATAATTATAGAGATTCTTTTAAGATTTAAAGGTTATTTATGGGTAGGATTTGGGCTTATTGAAGTATTTTTTTTATTTAGTTAAAATTTAAGAATATTTTTAAAGGAATTTTGTTGTTGTTTTCTTTATATGTTTTTTAGAGATAACTGTCTGTTTTTATATTTTTTATGTAATATTCTATTTATTCTTTTAGTTAAATGTATATATTATTTATCATAATTTTTTTATTTTGTTTTTATATATTATTTATTTTTATTAAACTTCTTTTTTAAAAAAAATTGTTTTAATTAATAATTAATAAAAAAATGAGATTTTTTTTTTATTAAATAATAAAATAGTTTTAAAATATCTAACAATAAATAAAATTTCTATTTTTTTATTATTGTATTAATAATATAATATGGAAAATAAAAATATTAATTAATATATAAAAAACAATATTTATTAAATTTTTATTATATAAAGTAATATCTATTTATATTTAAAATATAAAAAATTTTAATATATTGACATAATATTATATTTTAATATTATATATTAAAAATAAAAAGAAATATATATATAAATATAATTATATATATAAAATATATATTAATATATATAATAATATTTTTTATATAAACTTTTTATTCAAAAATATTTTTTCGAATTATTTAAAATTAAATATACGTTTAAATTTTAATTTTATTTAACAAAATAAAAAAATTCGATATTTTATTTTTCTTAATTTTAATACTATTATTAAATTATTCCATTCAAAAAAATAAATAATCACTATTTAAAATAATATATAAATACTATAATTATTTTATATAGACATAACTATTTTTTTTTTATCATATTTTAATAGAATAAAATAATAAAGTCTTTTATTTATATTTTTCTTTATATCAATCTTACAAAAAAAAAATTATTTAAATAAAATAAACATAAACAAATGAATAAAAGTAATTTTTAAATATTAAAATTATATTTTTTTTCTTAACTTATAAAAAAAGTATTACCTATATATTTTTTTTTTAAAAAAAAAAAATTAATAAATAATTAAAGAAAAAAAAAAAAAAAAATGAAAAGTTTCAAAGACACAACTTATTAAGCTAATAATAAAAAAAATCCAATTATGTTGTTCCTTCATTCTTAAAAGATTCTAAATAACATAAAACGCCTCTATCATAACTTTTATACAAAAATCTAAATAACTTAAGTAATTAATAAGAAATTTAACCATAAATAAAATAAAAATTGAACAATTTTTTCCAACAATAACAATAATAAACAAAAATTCAAAATAATTAAATAGAAAATCCTATATAAAGTACAAACAAATACAGTTTCCATTAGCAATAATAAATATAATAACAAAACTAACTGTATAGTTATTCATAATAAAATTCACGAAAAGTGTCATAAAACTATGAAGCGAACTCTGGAAATGCTTACGAGAAGTTAAAATTATAAAAAAAAAACTCATAACCAGGAACAAACTAAGTTTAAATATAAAAAATTAACATTAGTGCACTTATTAATCAATAGTAATAATAATAAAATAACCCATAGATCCTTAAAAATACACTAAATTTAACAAATAACAATGTGAATTCAATAAATAATACACCGTAAAATACAAGATAAATATTAAAATAATTCAATTAATAAAATTCGAATCAATAAAATTCGAATTAATAATCATTTTAAAAAGATTAAGGACAAAGTAATGATGAAAAATAAAAGCCTATATCATTTCTTAATTATTTAATGTTTTAAGATATATATAATTAAGAATAAAAAGAAGAAAATTCATAAATAAAACATAAAAAATGTATAAATATATATAAAAATATAAATACAAATATATTTAAATATATATAAATATTATTCATATATATATATTTATTTTTTTCTATAGAATTATCTATTTAAAACCCTATCTCTCATAGATAAACAAATTAAATTGTAATAAATTAAAAATAATTAGATTAAATTATTGGTTCTTATTAATAAATATAATAATAATAATAATCAAAGTAAATTTCCAGTTTAAATAATTCATGTTATATGAAACAATAATATATTTAATAATAAACTTCTAGAAATATTTAAAATATGCAAAATTTTGAAAATAATTTATCGTTTAATTTTAATGATAAAAGTAATGTTTTAATTGAAAATAATAATTTGGATGTTTCAAGAGAAAAATTTTAAATAGAAAAAAGTTAATTTAATTTCTATTTTATTATTGGAAAAGGTGGTTTTGGTAAAGTATGGAAAGTTGAAAATAGAAAATCCAGACAAATATTTGCTATGAAAGAAATGTCGAAATCATTGTATTTTTTTTTTTTTTTTTAATAAATTAATTTAGTATAAAAAATGAATAAAATAATTTATATTTTTTTTTAAATAAAATATTTATTAATTATAAAATATATTATTTTAATTTTTAATAATTTTATTATTAATACTATAATAAAATAAGGGTCATAACCAAAAAATCTGTAAGCTCAGTAATGAATGAAAGAAATTTATTAAGTATGCTAAAACATCCGTAATATTTTATTTTTTTTAGTTTTTTATATATAAAAAAAGATTTCTTGTAAATATGTAGTATGCATTCTAAGATAGAGATAATTTATATTTGGTAATGGATTTCATGGCAGGAGGTGATTTACGTTTTCATATAGGAAAATAAAGAAAGTTTAATGAAGAATAAACCAGTAAAATCATAATAAAAGCCTTTTAAAAAAATAATAAAAAATAGAATTCTTTGTGACCAGTATATTTTTAGGATTAGAATATTTACACAAAAATAGTATTATCCATAGAGATATAAAGCCTGAAAATATAGTACTTGATGGCGATGGATATGTGAAAATAACTGACTTAGGAGTAGCTAGAATATGGAATCCTGATAATTAAAATGATACATCAGGAACTCCCTGGATATATGGGTATTTATATTAAAAAAAATAAAATCGAATAATGTTTTTATAAAGCCCCAGAAGTTATGTGTAGATAACCTCATACTTTTGCAGTCGATTACTATGCTTTAGGTGTTATTGCTTTTGAGTTTATGTTAGGAAGAGTTTTTTTAAAAAATATTTAGTAGTTTTAATTTTTTTAAAAAAATAATAATAGAGACCATATGTTGGAAGGTCTAGGTAAGAAATAAGGAATTAAATTTTAGCGAAAAAAGTTTAAATTAAAAAACATGAAATACCTGATGGATGGAGCATAGAGGCAGCTGATTTTATAAATAAAGTATTTTACAAATTTATATTTATATAAAATATATTTTTTTCAAGATGATTGAAAGAAAACCAGCTTAAAGATTAGGGATAAATGGATCTGATGAAGTTAAAAATCACCCTTGGATTAAAAATTATCCTTGGCAAAAACTTTATAGAAAAGAGTTAAATGCTCCATTTAAACCTGTATTATATATATATATATATATATTATATATATATATATATATATATATATATATATTTAAATTTATATAAATATATATATATATTGTATAATTAATAATAATTTTATTTATAATTATTTATTTTTAATATTATTTATTTATATATATTATTTTACTTCATTTTTATTTTTAATTACTTTATTATATAAAAGTCCTAGTAAGATAATTTTGATTTTAAATAATAAATTTCTTAAGATGATGAATAAGATATTGAAGTTATTCAATAGAATGCTATTTTATTAAGAAAACCTTAAGTTTAAAGTATTTTTTTATTGAAATTTATATAAAATATTTTAAATATTACATAATATATAAAATAATATAGGTCTTTTTAAAGGATATAATTTAGATAACTCATAATTTAATTAAGCTATTCCTTCAGAATATTCGAATTGTAATTCTAATATAAATAGATCTACTAATACTTCTATTAATAATAGTAAATAAAATTACGTTGAAAATAATATGCTATTTAAAAATAATCAAAATAAATTTAATATTAATATAAATCCTACTGAGTGAATTTCTATATCTAAATAATGAAAAAATAAATTTCTATTTATTATTTTAAAAAATAAATTATTTATTTATTTCTATTAAAAAGTATATACATACATTTTTTTTTAATGAAAAAATTTAAAACTTTTAACTAAAAAAAAAAAAATGAAACATAAAAATATATTAATTTTTTATTTATTTATTTTTTTTTAAAAAAAAAAAAATTACTAATTTCCCTTAAAAAAATAAAAAAAATAAAGAAATAAATAAATAAACAAATACTTTTATTTATAAAAACAAACCTAAAATTCATTTTATTCCATTTAAAAATAAAATAAAATATGGCCAAATACGAAGAAATAATAGAATACTGTATAAAAATAATAAGTACATTTAATCCCATAATCTTAACCGTAGACTCTCATTCAGAATAATTTATAGATAAATATAGAAAGAAGTTAGAAGATACAGAGCAAGTATTTATTAAACAAGTATTTTATGGCACATATAGATATGAAAAATTTTTAAAAATAATAACAGATGCATTATTTGAAAATTATTCAAGTTAAACAAACCGAAACGATGCAATTTTATATAATATTTTTGGATATTTAATATGTTTTAGATTAGATGAATTACCTTTTGTTGAATTTAAGAAAATGGTTTTGTCTCAGGAGCCTGTAAAAATGAATGTTTTTCTTTAGTTTTTATTCGATTTAGAGAAAGTAAATAAGTATCTAAGGGAAAAATGGATATAAATTTATGATATTTCCTATATCGATAATTAAATAATAACATAGGCTCTAGAAGAAAAACTACCTTTAATGGCAGATATTTTAGGACATTTATCATAAAAAGCTACAGGGAAAAAAAGTGATTTGGTTAATACGTTAGAATAAACACTTTCTTTATCAGAAAAAAATAACAATAATTAAAATTTGCAATAAAAAAAAGAAATAACTGTACCTATACCTTTCAATTTGACAAAACCTAAACCTAAAGCATTACCTGAACCAATAAAAATAGAGAAAAAAGTAAAGGCTAATCCTATTCCTCAAACTATTTTTAAAACTAACATTGAATAAATTAATTAGAAAGGTAAAGAAAGATTAGAAAATATTAAAAAATAAGTAAATAATAATTTAAATAATAAATATATTTATATATATATATTTATATATAAATATATATATATATATAATATATATTTTTTTTATATATATATATTTATTTTTATATTAGGTTGAATAAGAATATAAAGAATCTAAAATTTAAAAATTCGAATTCTAATTAGATAAGAGACCTACAAATATTTAAAAAATATATCAAGAAGTAGAAGAAAAACTTAATTAAGAACTTTAGTTTGAGAAAAAAAATTACAGGTATATATTTATAAATTTATTTAATTAAAATATAATAATAGACCTCCGCCAACATTTAAAGAACCTGTAGAAATTAAGCATAATATAGCTGCAATATTAAGGGAAGATGCTAAAATAAAATCTGTTTAAGAACAAGAGGCGAAAAGATTAAAAGATTTAGAATGGAATATGAGAGATTCAGCTGAATTTGAAAATTGGAAAAAAGAAATGAAATATAAAGAATAAATAGAAATATTAGAATAATAATAAAGGACTAAAATAGAAATGGAGTTAGCTAGAGAAGGTGCTATGAAAGCTTTTAATGAAAAAATAGAAAAAAATAAACTTTAAGTACTTGATATGAAAGATGAGTAGAAAAGAAATCAGGAAGAAATAATAAAGAAAAAAGAAGAAAATATATTGGAGAATAAATAAGTGGTTTTAAGTGTTTAAGAAACAAGGGATAATGCAAGTAAAGAAATAGCTAAATTAATAGAAAAAAAGAAACTTTAGGCTGATGAATTAAAATAGAAAATAGAAGAAGAATTGAGCAAAATAAAAGAAGAAGAAGAAGTAGAAAGAAAAAAAAAAGAAGAAATAATTCGATAAATTCGGGAATTATAAAAATAACCAAAATAAAGAACTAAAGGATTCGACCCAACAGAGACTATGGGTTATGGTCTTTTATAAGAAATGTCCCTTGTTTAATTAAGGGAGAAATTAAATGAGATGAAAATAATAAAAGAAATTGAAAAAGAATAGAGAAGAGAAAATAACTTGAAAAAAAAAGACGAGAAATTACAAGATATAGAAGTTAAAGTATAGGAAATAAAAGAAAACAGGTAAATGTTGGTTTTAGAAAAAGAAAAAGAAAGAAGTGAAAAAAGAAGGAAAAAAATCGAAGAAGAAAAAAGGAAAAAAGAAATACGAGAAAAATCTTTACTGGAAGTCCATGAAAAAATTGCGAGTAAAAAGAGAGCAAAAAAAAAAGAGGAAGATCGCTTAGCGAAAGAATATAAAGAAATTAGACTTAAAAGACTATATATGAATGCAAATGCTGCCATAGTGGAAGAATTGGCTTGGTAAGGACAAGAATAGGGAGCTGAAAGGGAAATGAAATATAGATAAAATTAAAAATTAATTGATTAGGAGAAAATATAAAACACTAAGTTTAAAGAAAGGAAGATTCTAGCTAATTCTATGAAAAAATAAATTTAGAATAAATTAGAATTTATTAATGATTATGATTAAAATCTCTCTGTTAAATAAAAGGAAAATGAAATACTCTATAGGTAAATGAGAGAAGATAAATAAATAGCTCATTAAACTGTTAGATAGTATGAGTTAGAACATTCTAAAAACATGTAAGAGAGGGATACTTTTAAGTTTAAAATTAGCGAAATGAGTCTTTCTAATGCTAAAACTAAACTTGAATAATCGAAAAAATTATAAAATAAAAAGAAAAAACATGATGATTAGTAATTGTAACTCCCAGGACCGAGATATGATGCAATTAATTCTATTACTGAATAAAAAGACGAGGAGGATGAACATAAATGAACTTTTTATTTTTATTATATATTTATTATTATTATTATATTATTTTTTATAAATAAATAAAAAAAAAAAAAATTATTTAAAATAAAATAAAATAATATATCAATGCAATAATAATACAAATAAAAAAAATACGAAATCACCCATAATGCCGAAGAAAATCCTAAAATGAAAGAAATATTTGACAAATTATTACTAGCAGGTTATTTCCGTATAAGAATTTCAAGTTTTTCCACATTCGATAAATTATTAGGATCATTAACATGGTGTATATCCTGTAGTAATTTTGATATAGACATAGAATATGACGACGAGATGAATTTAGGTTAAAAAATAAATTTATCAGAAAAAATATGCTAGTCATTAAAAATAATGGAATGTCCTTATGATTTATAGCCTTTTTAAATACGAGGTCTTGATTTTGATAAAATAGAGCCAGTAGTAAATTGGTTGATTAGGTTTGTATATGAAACAAGAGAATAAAGGTGGGATTTTAACACTTCTATGAGTAATTTTTAAGGGAAAAAAACGTACGAGAAATTTTAGGAAAAGGAAAAATTCGAAGAAAAGACAATATAGGAAACATTATAAAAAATAAAAAATTAAGATAAGAGATTAACAAAAAATTTCAATATAGAAAAAAGTTAATAAAATGATCCTTTGAGGGTTTATTCGACTTTAATTGAATATGGAGATATTACTGCATTTAAAACTTATAATAGATTATGTGGAGTGGTTTCTGGGAAAAATAATATAGAATAAGAATTGAAGAAAAATGAAGGAAATAAAAAGTAAAAGAAAAAAAATGAAGAAATTGAAGTTATTAATTTTCTTTTTCATAATGCCAAAATGGCTGAAAATCAAAAAGAAATTTAATAATAGAAAATTATTTAACTATTAGGAGATTAAATGTAGAAAAAATAAACTGAATTTTTGAATAATTAAACTAATAATAATTAAGAAAATACTAATAATAAAGAATTCGAAACTTAAGACTTTTAATTGGACGAATAAGAAGAAAAGTATTTTAGAAAAATCGAAAGAAGATAGTCTATTGTTGGCGCTAATATTTTAGATATTGTATTATAAAATAAAGAAGAAATCAAATAATAACTCGAAGATTAAAATTAAGGTGAAAAAGAACCCGAAGATGAACTTGCGAGTGTTATTTTAAACGAAAAAGTCTTTTATGAAGGATAAATGTAAGCTTTATAGAAAAAACTAGCATTATTAGATGAGAAAATAGAATAGACTTCTAATGAGCTTTTCGAAATTAAGGCTTAGGAGGATTAATCAGTTTAGTTTTGTGAATAACAACAATAATTATATGAAGATTTGTCTAATACAAATGATTTAATTAACAATAAATTACAGCAGGAAACTAAGAAGTAGAAAAAAGCTTAATTAGAGGAAGCTGAGAGGATGGTGGAGAAAAGAAACGAGAAAAAAGAGGAAAGAATCCTTAAAAAAAAAGTTTATAAATAAAAGATTGCAGAGTTAGAGAAAAATAAGGCGAGGATTTAAAAAGAAGTTTAAATAATTTAAGAAACAGAATAAGTTGATGAGAAAAGCTTGGAAGAATATGAAAAAAAAAAGATAAAATATGAGAAAAAATTCAAAGAGTTCTCCAATTTAAACTAAGAAATTGCTGTTTTGTAAAGACTAATTGAAAATTTTCCGTCAGCAACAGAAATCGCTTAGTATTAATTAAGATTACAAGAATTATATGAGAATATTAGCAATTAATCTGAAAAATATAGAGATTTTTTCATTAAATATAATAATTTATAGGATATAAAAGGATAATTTATATAGTTTGTGGAAATATTGAGAACATATAAGGAAAATTTCAAGGTTCATGAAAAAAGTAAATCTGGAAGATAGAAAATGATAGGTGATTTAACTGAAGCTTATAAATAATTAGAAGCAAATTGTTAAAGAACTGTTGAATTTTTAAATAAATAAAAAAACGCGAAGGAAAACGCACAGGAAGACTTAAACAAATTATAGAATTTTGAAAGAAATTTCTTTAAATTATTAAAAGATATTAGATATGAAATGGAAATGAATGAATGTTTATATAATAAAATATAATTATAATAATAATGAATATATATATTAATTAATTAATATATAAATATATATTTTATTTAAAATAAAAAAACAATTTATTAAAAAATATAAATATGGATATTATTATTTAAAAAACATAAACATTTGTTTAAGAAACACTAAAAAATGCTGAAAAAGGACACGATTATGACCATGTTGAACGTGTTTGGAAATACTCTTTGAAAATTGCTTAACTAGAAGAGTAGAAAAATACATAATAAAAAATAAACTTTCTTGTCCTATAATTAGCAGCTTTATTACATGATATTGCTGATTATAAATTCCATGCAGGAAATGAGGATATAGGGCCTTAAACAGCTTCTGATTTTTTGAAAAATACTGGTCTTGTAGATTAAGGAACTATAGACTAAGTTACTCATATAATAATAAACATATCTTTTAAAGGAGCTTAAGTATAAAATACTATGAAATCATTGGAAGGATTAATTGTTTAAGATGCTGATAGGTTAGATGCTTTGGGAGCTGTTGGAATAGCCAGATGCTTTGCTTATGGGGGTTTTAAAAATAGGGCACTTTATGATCCTCAAATATAGCCTGTTTTACATAATAGTTCAGATGCTTATAAGAAGAATTAAAGTCCTAGTTTAAATCATTTTTATGAAAAATTGTTTCATTTAAAAGATTAGATGAATACGTAAAGTGGGAAGGAATTAGCGGAAAAAAGACATGATTTCATGGTTGAGTTTGTTAATAGATTTAAATAAGAATGGGAAGGTAATTAGTGATTTTTTTTATTAATAAAATTTAATTTTTTATGAGTATCTTTATTTAATTATTTATGATATTTATAAATATTTATTTTTTTTGTTCTTTTTTATAATTAAATATATATATATATAAATAATAAATAATATATATTTATTAAATTTTTATTTATTTTTTTTCATATAAAATAAAAATATTTACTTTATGTTTAAAGATAAAAAATAAACCCATAATAAGAAATTAATGATATATAGAAAGAATAAAGAGCTTTGAACTGGGTGATTTGGTTAAATATGTAAAGGTATAAATATAAAATAAAATTTAGAGATAGTAATAAAATTAGATAAGTAAACAATTACAAAACCATCATTATTAATTATATCACAAATCTTAATATTATAAACATTTATTAATAAATAACATTATGATTTCTAATATATGTTTTATGTCAAAGTAATAAAATATTATATATATAGTAATGGATAGATTAGGTAATAGTTTAAAAGATTTATTTTAAAAATGTGGTAATGTTTTTACTTTAAAAAGTAAAAACCTATATGATTAGTTTATAGATTTTAGATAAGATTTAATTTGTTTATTATATATAAAGAAAATAAAATATTTATAGGAACAACTAGATTTGTCTCTCTAAATACACATTTTGGTATCGAATAGGTTAAAATTAATGATTTATATTCTTTTATATATTTTTCTAGGTTAATTACTTTCCAAAATAGAAAAATATGATAAAATTATAGAAAATAAAATGACTTTTCCAATAAAGTAATTTTAAAAAGATTATCCTTCTTAGTTTATTTAAATTTTCTTGATATTTAGATGTTTTTGAATTTGGAAAAAGAACCTGATTATAACTTATTTTATCTTTTTTTGATGATATGGATTAAAAATGGATTACATATATTATTGAAGCTCTTAAAAATAAATTTACTTTGAGAATAAAATAATATTTTCAAAATTAAAAAAATATTTATATTATATTTTTTTATATTAAAAAAAAACAAGAAAAAATGATTTTTTTATTATATAAATAAACTTTTAAAAATGTTTAAAAAAAAAGTTATAAAAAGTAATTAATAAAATACAATTTGCATTACAATTTATTATTATTTTATAAATAATTAAATTAGACTATATTAATAATAATTTATATTATAGTATAAAATATATGGTATTTATTTATTTTTTTAATTTTTCAATTAAATGAACATATGAAAAAAAAACTAAATATTATATCATTTTTAATTTTAAAAAAATTCGCCAAAATTAAAATAGTACTCTTCTTTTTTTAATACTAAATAAATATATAAAATATTAAATAAATATTTTAAAATAAAATTAATAATTCATTTTTTCTTTTATAAAATAATATGAATTAAAAATACAAAATCTAAATAAAAATAATTTAAAAATGAAACTATAAAAAGAAACAATTTTAAAATAAATACTTATAACAATAGTATCATTTACATAAGGAACCTAATCATTATCCCATATAGCATTATAATTTATGTATAAAGATTTATATAAAATGACCCCATCACAAGTTTCAATAATGCACAGCATAATAACCATCCCTTTAATATTTAAACCTTTTTTTGGATTTATAAGTGACACATTTTCAATAAAAGGAAGTCGTAGAATCAATTATATAGTAATATTTGCGTTTTTCAATTTTTTGAATTGGTTATTCTTATCATTTCTTCCGGATAGTATATATGTATTAACATTAATTTTATTTAATATTCATTTATCTCAATGTTTTTGCAATATAGTCGGAGAGGCTTTAATAGTGGAATTATCTTAATAGAAAAATTAAAAAGCTTCTTATAATGTGTCATTGTTTATTTTTTCTAAATAAATAGGAGAGTTTTTAAGCATATATTTAGGCGCTTATTTACATGAGATCCTAAAAATTTAAACTCTAATAAAAATAAGCGGAACATGCCCATTAATTTTATCTATATATTGTTTTTTATAAAAAGAAAAATTAGAATAAGACTCATAAAAATTACTTTAAAAAGATTTATAAATAAAAAATTGTATAAAATTTTTAAAAAATAAACAAATATAAAAGCCTTTAATTTTTATTTTTTTCTTTATGGCATAACCTTAAACAAAGCATGCTATATTTTATTTCTATACGAATTTTTTACATTTTTCGGCTAGTTTTATGGGATAAATAAAGGCTTTTCATAATTTGGGAGCTCTATTAGGAATTTTTCTATATAATAATTTCTTTTTAAAGACTTCTTTTAAAAAATAATTTTTTTATACAACCCTTATATGCTCCTTTTTTGGATTTTCTGATCTTTTTTTAATTCTAAGACTTAATTTTTTTATTCCTGATAAAATTTTTGCTCTGGCAGATTCTCTTTTAATTAATATTTTTTCGGAAATTAATCTTCTACCTTTATTAGTGTTTTGTTGTTAAATTTGCCCGAAAAATATCGAAGGAACTGTTTATGCATTTATTGTTAGTACGATGCATCTTGGACATATTTTTGGGTAATAATTTGGTGGATTTCTTACTTGGGCTTTAGGTATTAATGATAGATAGTTTAATAACTTATATTTATTTGTTATTTTTTAAAATATTTATATGATATTCACACTTTTTTTTGTAAATGGTATTAGTTTTGATTAAAAAAATGAGTTAGTTTATGAAAAACAGATTTTAATGATAAAAGAAAAAAATCATGAAACTACTGATTATGGATCGGAATTAGAGACTATTTAAAAAGTTTGATTTTTTATTTTTTGTATATATATATATTTATATATTATTTATATAAAATATTTACTATTTTTTTAAAATTATATTGCTTATTAAATAAAATATAGATTTTTTTTTTTTTTTTTTGATAATAAAGATATAAACAAAAATAATATGGAATAAATTAAATTAATATAGTAATAAAAATATAAAATTAAATATTTATTAATTAAATTTATATTTTTTTTGTTTTTGTTTTTTTTAAAAAAAATAATGTTATTTATTTTTAATTATTAAAAATTATAATAGTATATTTTTAATAAATATAAATGGCATTTATTTTTTAATTTTTTATAAATAACCTATATAGTATTAAATAAAGGTTTTATTTTTTATTTAAATAATTATTTACTAAAACTTTTTTTATATATAAATGCAAATAAACAAATTATATTTAATTATTTTACAAATCAAAAATATTTATTAATATGAACTAATTAATTTTTTTTGTTTAATTCTTATTAGTTTTCCATATTTTTTTTTATTTGTACCTTATAGTTTCTATGATAATATGGTCCTTTGAATTATTATTAATTTTATGGAATATAGTTTAAATAAATCTTTTTATTTTTTTAAAGTTATTCATCACTTTCATTATTAATAATTTTTAATTCTTTTAATTTTTCAAGCGTTTATTCTTTTGTTTTTATTTGTTTTAAAAAATTAAAAAAAGATGATTAATTTTTATTTATTTTTTTTTTTAAAAAAAAAACAAAAAACAAAAAATTACTAACTTATTATTACGTTTCTTCTTGAATTTTTTTTAATTCTTATTTTGGAAAAATAATAAACTATATATTTTTTATTTATTTATTTTCATTTTAATATTAAAAAAAAAAAAATTTAAATTTACATCTTCCTTTTCTTCATTCCAATTACTTTCTATAATTAAACTTTAATTATTATGATTTGGTATTTTATTTTCTAATTATTAATCTGAAATTATAATTTAATTTTTTTAGGCATATTTGATTTATTAACTATTTCCCATTTTTATAATATATTTTTATATTTAAACAAAACAAAAATATTAATAATTATTTAAAAATCACAAAAATATATTTTAAAATATAAGAATTATAATCTATATTGAACTATAAATATATATATTAAAATTAATATTTAAACAAAAAAAAATATTATTTTAACGATAAAATAAAGTTAAAAACAATAATTTATATATTTACAAAAAATATATATTTTTTTTTATTTTTCATATTAAAATTTTATTATTAGTACTTATTTTTTCAGATAATATCTAAGAACTAGTACTATTACTTTATTATATAAATGCCATATTTAAGTTATTAGATTATGCTATATTTTCATCATCTTAGATTTTAGAAATTACTATATTTTACTTAAATTGATTATTTACAATTATATTTATCTCTTTTTATATTTATTCTTTAATATATTTAGGTAACTAATTACTATATACATATTTCCCATTACAAATCGAAATCTTATTAATATCTTTCTTTTATATAAAATAATAATAATAATAAAAATATAATCAATATATATAAAAAAATACCAAATAAGCATTAACACAAGCTTCTTATTTATCTTTTTTTAAAGGAAAACTTGGCAAAATAAAATCTATAGGTGAGGCTAAGAATTCCTTATTATAAATTCTCATTATATGTTATTATTTATTCTAGACTTTTCCTTCTTTTATTTAAGAATTACAAATAAGAAATCGAACATTATTATTTTTCTTATTTTTTAAATGATACATTTTTTTATCGAATTTTTAAGTAATTATATCTTAATAATTATCATAAATATTCAAAAACTTTTCTTTTAAATCAAAGTTTTGATATTCTTATTATAAAATAATCTTATATTAGTCGACTTTAGAAAGTCTTTAAAAATAACCTTAAATATCATTTTAGGAGTTATTATTTTGCCCATTCATTTGAAATGAAGAATATTATTATTGATTATTTAAAGAAGAGGATTAATATTATTATTATTAGTACTTTTGTTATTATTATTATTAAGAATTTTAAGAAGAAGATTAATATTAATTGGATGATTACTAACTTATTTAATAATTCATTGAAGGTATTAAAATATCTAAAGTACCTATGTATTGTCCTTCGTTTTCTATTTAATTATTTGTTGTAGGTTCAGTTAGGAATTCAAATATTTATTATTGGCTTTATTTTTTTGATACTGTTGACAAATTATGTATAATTTTATTTATTTATTTTATTCTTTCATAATATTTTGGCTTTTCTTCTAGATTTTTGTTTGGGTTTTCTATAGGGACATATAATATTTTTTTACCAGATATATTATCTTAAATTAGTCTTTTTTTTATTTTTTTAATATATATATATATATATATGTTTATTTTTTTAAATAAACTTCATTTTTAAATTAGAATTTTAAAAAGATTAAAATATATTGTTTTCTTGTTTAGAAATATTAATATTTGAATTTTTTTGATTCTTTTTTTTACTATTTTAAGTTTATTTATATATTAATATGATTTTTTTGTTTTTTTTATTTAAAAAAAACTAATATTTATAAGGCAATTTAGATTTATGTATTTAAAAATTATCTAATTTTGGTAATAAGTCAAAATTCCTTTTTGTTTGTTTTTCTGATTTTTAATTTTCAACTATTTAAACAAATTCTCGAGAAGAAACTATTTTATCACACTTTTATGTAATTTTTATTTTTGGAAAGGACATAATTTTTAGTTTTTTATATATTTATTAATATAATAAAAATTTAAATAAAAGTTAGTCTATTTTTATTTATATATAAATTATCCTTTATATAACTAATATAATATTTATTAGATATTAAATAATTATTATTTAATTTTATTTTTAATAATATATATATATAGAAGACAAAATATTTTTTTATATATTTTAAATATTCTAAATTCTTCAAATATATATAAGCTTTATTTTCATTTCAATTAACTTATTATTATATATCAGATAATACATTTATTTTCTATATATTATAAATATAATTATATAATTATTCATATATTATAAAATATTATTATTTATATATAATCTTTTTTATTATAATTTATATTTTTTAATTTAAAATGTCTTTATAAATACTTTATTATATATATTGTTAAATATAAAAATTTTTAAAAATACTATATAATAAAATAAATGATTTTAAACATACTAATAGATTAAAATATTTTTTTTTTATTGAATCGTTAATAATAATTTAAATTTTTTCAGTTTGCTTTTAGTAAGGTTGCTTTTTAAAAAACATATATTCGGAAACAGAAATAAATTTATTAAAAATAAAGCAAATAACAAGCTTTTACATTATTAATTAATTTTAAATTATATTATCTATTAATTTAATTTGAGTTAGAATTAGATTATCTTCTTTATCATCAATTAAGGTATTACTTATATATTTCAATTTTAATATTTATTGTTATTTTTTTGTTAAAAAATATTGAATTTCAAAGTTTTCTAAAATAATAACAATATTAAAAAAAAATCTAATTTATTATTTAAGATGACTTTTATATTTTAAAGAATTTATTTAGGCATGAAATAAAAAATAAATTCACCTTCATATTTTAATACAGATATTCTAGAATTACTTATTAAATTTAAAACTAAATATATATATATATATGTATATATATGTATCATTTTAATTTTTAATTAAAATATATTTCCTTTTTTGAAAATTTATATTTATTTTTATTAAGTTTAGATTTTATTTTATTTTTTAAAAAATATAGTTTATAAAAATATTAAACTTAATTTGTTTCGCTTTCATTTATAGTTTAAGTTTATATTATCTTTTTTTTAT